GTAGACATTTTTGTCACTCCCAGTTTGCAGACAAGGAAACGAAACGGGGACCTAGTAAGTTGACTTGCCTTGGGTCCTTCATGAGGAAGTGTTCCAAAGACAGAAAAGCAATCTTATTTATTATAACAGCCAAATTTGTGGACACCCAGGGCCTGTGGGAGTTCCCTCCTGAACTCTCTCAGCATCTCTGAATGATGGGTGTGAAGGATTCACCCATTTTACAGATGACAAACTGAGGCTGACTACAACACTCCAGGACTGGTGAACGACAGAACAGGGATCTGAACCCACATGATGGTCCCGCGAGGTGGTGCTCTGGGGTCTGGCCCCATCAGGGGCTGAGAAGGATTCTCTAGAGGAGAGACTTCCATAAAGGAGAGGGTGCCTGGAGAAACCCAGAGTCCCCACAAGCCCAGCAGACCCTCTCCTCCCCTCGCCTCCCACGGCCTCTGAGGCTGTCCTTCTCTTGGTGGTGGGGGGGGCGATGGGCTGGGACCAGGATGGGAAGGTAATGGCGACCCAGCTGGGTCCACAGGATGCTCAGCCAGGCAGAGGGCAGGGCATCCTGAATGACCACTCACTCAAGCTCACCTTGTTCCCAGGAGTGAAAGGCTCAGAGTGAGCTGCAGAGGCAGGTGCACCACCTGGCACAAGCACCGCAGGTAGCACGGTCCACTGAGACCACAGAATCTTTTCTGTTCTGTTCTCCAGGAAAACCCCAGAGCTGAAGGGGATGGGTCCTTACTGACAGTGCACTCTATGTTCCTTAATCCTCACAACAAGGTCACGTGAGCCCTCTGCTAGCCTGTTTGGTGTATCCACATTTGGCCTTAGGCCTTAGGAAGACTCCATTGGGACCTGGGCCCAGGGGTGCCCACCAGTAACCCCAGCAACTGCGAGGCTGAAGCAGGAGGATTGCAAGTTGTAGACCAGCTGGGTAATGGAGCAAGGCCCTGAGGATGTAACTCAATGACAGAGTGCCCTGGGCTCATTTCACCACCCCCCCCCTCCCCGCACTACCAAGAAAGAAAGGACCCCAGGGAAGGAAGGAAGGAAGGAAGGAAGGAAGGAAGGAAGGAAGGAAGGAAGGAAAGAAGGCCGCCCTGGGAAGTCCGCGAAGATAACATGAAGCTAGGTGAGAAAAAGCCAGAGGGCCACCAGGAGAGGGAAGGCAGAGGGCAGAACCAGGCGCTGCCGAAGAGCCTCTCTGGTCATATGACCTCCCAGCCCAGGGTGAGAGGCTGGGGTTCCTGGGAGGCAGCTGCATCCAGGCCTGGAGGCGGAAGCCTGCTTCCCAGCGCCATTCCCTTGAAGACCCAGGATGCCAGCTCTCTTCTCAGCCTGCCCACTGCATTCCACCTCTTCACATGTTCACAGCCCCGGGCTGAAGCTCCCCACAAGCCAGACATTTGGAAAAACCACAGCACACAAAGTGATGTCCGCAAAACACACTCTATACAAGACACAATTCTGCTTCCCTTTGCTGCAGAGCAGGGATGTTGAGAGGGGAGGGAGGCCTGGTGGGAGTCAGAGGTGGGTGGCGTCTTCCCAGGCACAGGGCCTATCCCCGAAGAGGGTCGTGGCTGCCAACCTTCCAAACTCCCCTGAAACATTCCACTCCTTTCCTTGCATGCCTCTGTCAAAAAGCAAACAGTGCAAACGCCTTGGAGAGCTGAGGCCACGCAAGAGAGAGGCGGGCAGCAAATGCTTCTCAAAGTTTGGGAAAGCATTTCAAATATGTGGTGTAAGAAAGCATTCCGGAGAGAGGGCAGCCCTGGTGGCTCCAGCCAGCCTGTCCCCTCACCTGGCACTGAGGCACTGGGCCTTAGCACCCGCTTTCCCTCAGCAGCAAGCTGCACCGAAGGCGTAGAACCTTCACTTCCACGGACCCACGTCTGCTCCATGGCACGTCAGACACGGGTGGACAGCTGCAGATGCCCATGCAGGACAGGGTTCCTGAGGGCCAGGTGCAGGATCTGAGGCCACAGTGGTCCTACCAAAGTGGGTCTTTTCTCTGTGCTCTGTCACCATTCACCTCAGGTTTTGGTTAACAATGAATTTCCACCAGCCAATCCTACCCAACAGCCCCTCAGCCCCTCGGCCTTGTTTGGATTGGGGGCAGGAGGCAGGGGCTACCCAGCAGGCTCTTTCTCAGGAGGGAGCTGGAAACTGCCTTCTGGCTTTGGGGCCCTGCAGGAGTCTCTGCCAGTGCTGTCAGTGACCCCTGCCCCCAGCAGTGGAGGGGTAAAGGGGAGAAGAGGACCCTGGAGATTTATGAGGCAGGCTCTGAATTCCCAGGACCCTGCCCTTCCTTCTTCCAGTTTCTGATCTTCATTTCTCACAAGCAGGGGGAGGGTGGTGGGGAAGAGAGGGTCCATCCCAGAAGCCCTGGCTGTGCCAGGTGGAAGGAGAAGGGCTGCTTTGGTAACCTGTGCGCTTTTCAGCTCCAGAATACCAGGGAGGCAGGCAAACAGGTCCGCTCCTGCAGATGTGGTCTTGGTATTTCTAGTCCAACATGTGAGCCGTTCAGGAGGTAAGTCACTGCAGAGTTGACACCTTCGGGGGGGCAAGTCACTGGAGCCAGAGCAGTGAGGGCCACCAGGTTGCAGAGTCACGGAGTTCTGGAAGAGGCCTGGGCGGGGCATGACACTGGCAGTCCCTTCCTGAGCACTGTGAAGTGGTGTGTGGCCTCAGGGTCTTCCAAGAAGCACGTGGTAGATGTATGTGGTGGACCGCAGAGCCCCCCACCCCCCAGAATCAGGCGGGTGAGGCTAGGCACCCTTGTGCCCAGACCTTTCCCCCCTCTTCTAGAAGGCCCTGGGCTTCCCACGGACAGAGAGGGCTAAGAAAGAGGCAGCCAGTCGATATGTGGATCACCGACAGCCTGTGCCTGGCGCCCAGGTCTTTTTTGGCAGGCAGCAGACACTTGGGGTGGGGGCGAAGACCTGCGAGCCGGCGGGGCCCCCGCTTTGGTGCCGCTGTGCTCACAGCGTCGGGCTTGGGGCTCCTCCGCTCGGCTGCAGGAGGCTGCTAAACCGAGGCCTGAGGTCCGCGCAGCAGCTGCCGAAGGCGGGCGAGCCGAGCATGGGGCGAGGCGCAACACGCAGCAGACAAAACCAGGCTTCCGGCCCGTTCCCGCACCACCCAGCCTCCTTGGTTTAAGACTCCCGGGGAGAGTGACAGAGCGCGCTGGCCGACACCTCCCAGGGCCGCGGGTCTCCACTCTCCCGCCTCCGGAGGCCCCAGATGCGACCGTCCTGCGCTCGCCCACCTTCCCAGAAGAATGGAAAGACCCATTGCCCTCGCTCTGCGGGCTGCGGAGCGGACCTTCTCCAGCCACCCGCGGGCAGCTGCGACTTCTTGAGGAAGGCTTCCCAAAGGCGCAGAAGCCCGGCGCGGTGTGGTGGTGTGGCACGGTGTCGGAGCAGCCGGGTGTCTCCCCACTCCATCCCTTCTCTCCTTTCCACGTGTCTCTGGGGTCTCCTCATTCACAGGGCATCGAGAGTTCCAGACCCTAAGGCAGGGCAAGCTTTCAGGGAGGTCTCTTTGGAACATCTGGAGAAGGAGAGCACAACCCACTCGTGGTGCTGAGTGGTCCTCTTGGGTCAGTGGCAGGAAGAGCAGAAGCAAAGTGAAACCGGTGTGGCTGGCGGGAGCCAGGGGCTCCGGCCACCCAGTTCTGACCCTAGGAGAGGACCCCCTTCCTCAGGTACCTCCTCTTGCTCACTGAACCCTAGCATGGCTGCCTAGGTGCCTGCTCAAGTCAAGCCCCAGTCCCAACCTATGGAAAGGACCAACCCGCAGGCTTTAAGCCTTGACCACCGGCCACCTCTGCCCCCGCAGACTGAAGAATCCGTGCTGCACACGTGGGGAGAATTACTGTGCTTCAGACTTCCCCTCACTCTATTTTAACGTGGCACAGAGGCAAAAGGCCATTTTGAAAACACAACACCCAGGTTACAGTGATCGGTAGTCAGCCTTGCACCAAGCAAAGCCACCCGTAGCTAAATCGCAGTCCCCTGGAATGTTAAATTCAAAAAGAGCTTTGTCGGTGGCAGAGCACAGCTCACCTGCTGGGGTGGGAATTAGAGAAGCTGGAGTCCCAAAACTCACAAGTGGAGGCCAGCAGGGGAGGTGTAAATTCCAAACAAAAAAAAAAAAAAAAAAAAAAAGATAAGAAAGACATTTCCTCACCTACATTTCACAAAGGCTATATTGATATCAAAATTTTAAAAGATAACAAAATCAGAAAGAGTAAGGATATCATTATTTAACATCCTAAATTGATTAAAATTTAGAAATCTAAAAGCATCAAATTGCTTTCAAAGGTCAGTGAGCTTTGAAATTTATTCACTGCAATAGGGTAAAGATTTAAAAATCAAATAGGGAAGTAAAGCCTTCTGAAATCCATGTCTGGGCTGGTCCCAAAGGCAAGAAATATTAAATGCTAGAGAATCAATTCCCTTTGAACCTTTGCTGGCCCAGCTCAAATTCTTTTCTGGAAAAACCACTGAAGTGAGCAAGAGAAGCCCGCATTTTAGGAAATCCAGGGAAAGAAAGCAGGACTCACCCTGGCTTACAGTTAGCAAATGGGTAATGTTTATCCTTCTCCTTTGCCTCCTAAATTGGGGACAGCTGGACATTGAAATGGAGTGGCACTGTTTTGTTTTGACAACTGGCACTTTTTTCTGCATATAACAAAATGCACTACAGCAACTGAACAGCTCAGGGTCTCTCGCGAAACCCCATCCAAAGGGGACTGTTCTCAGATTGCCTGGGGAAAAAAAGAGAATCTAATTTTGGATGTTTTAATTAATTGAAAGACTTTTCTGTCACTAAATAAGACAATAGGGGAGCACTCCTGTGATCATCTATATGTATCTACAGTACAGCCACCGGTGTAACAAAAATAATCAGAAAAGGTGGGTTCGGAAACACACCTTTTTTTTTTTTTTTTTTTTTTAAATATAAGAACACAAACACATTGTCCGAACTTTGGGCAAAAAAACGACATGGGTTTATTTTAGGTAAATACAACAATTAAGACCACATAAGACAAACACAGATGAAGTTAAAATTTTTAAAGTTTTTTTTTTCTTGTAGGAATACTGAGGGTGGAATCTACTATACAAAACCATCACACTTTGTAAATAAAAAGTATCAGATACTTGACTTCTTTATCCACTGACCAAAAAAAAAATTATAATAAATTATTTTCTTGTTTTGTAAAAGACCTACAATGGGGTAAAGAATTGTATTTCATAATTGTACAAGAAAACCCCCACAGAGATTTCTTAAATTCAATTGGTAGAGATGGTTGGGCAAGATGAAAAATTATCCAGTGAACTCAACTTTAAATATTATATTAATGGCTCTGAACAACAACATAGCCTGGTTACAAATCCACACATTTGTACAGCACGGTTAGAGAAATTTAAAATTACACACAGCACATACATTATCTATAGAGACTCCCATACACCTGTGGGGGTTTCTACAGAAAGTCATTAATGGTCGCTATGGTATTTGGTCCATAATTTAGATCTTTGAAACCCCAAGTAGAGAAAAGCACAGCGTCCTGGTAGGGGAAGGGGATTTTAAAAATCGGTATTCATCTCGCTGGGCTGCGTCCCTTTAGAGGGACTTCCTGGGATCTCAAAAACGGGGCGGCGGACTAAAGTTACCTGCACGCTTCATAGACGCTTCGCAGACGGCTGGAGGCGGGCGCACGAGCTCTCTGCTCCCGGGTCTGAGAAAGAGTCGGTGGGCATGATTTGTTTCTTTGTGCGTCACTGTCTGCAGCCTTCGAAGTCTGAGAGGGTCGCGTCTGGAGGCGAGGCCCAGAGCAGGGAAGGGCTGGGGCGCTTCAGTATTTTGTGCAGTCGTAGGAATAGGGGGTTGCGTGGCGGTAGAGGGACGGCGTGGCTCTGTAGGGCAGCTGACAGCTCGCATTGCTCACCTGGGACTCCCCGAGGGTCGAGTTTTCAATTCCCAGCCGGTGAGAGTTGAACATCTCCCGGACGTTGGGGAAAGTCTGCTGCTGGGCCGCGAATGTGTGGCCAGAGAGGTGGTTTAGGTCCCCGCTGTGGTTGAGATACCAGGAAGCCGCCGGGGCCGCGGCCGACCCGGGCTGCGGCGCGGGCTGGGGCTGCGGAACAGGCGGGGGCTGCGGCGCCTGTGGGTGGTGGTGGCCGTGATGCTGGTGGTGGTGGCCCGCGGCAGCGAGCGCGCCCTCCTGGCCGGCAGCGAGGTTGAGGGCGCTCAGCGGTGATGCGGGGCCACTCGGGTGGTCCGAGAGGGTCTCGTCCAGGGCGGGCGGGACGCACATGTGCGCCGGCCGCTCGGCCCCGGTGTACAGGCTCATGGCGCGCATGCTGCACTGGTAGCCCCCCGCGCCCCCCGCCTCCAGACCCTGAGCGCACGGCTGACCGTAGGCTGCCGGCGGCGCAGCAGCGTAGGGCAGCGCCAGCGGGGGCACCACCAGGCCAGCGCGCCCGGCCGCGGGGCTCAGTTCGCCGCCCGGCGGCGACGTTCGCAGCGTCATGATGTTCTCCACGCTAAAGCCGGGCAGCCCGTTGGGCGCCGGTGCGTGATGCTCTGGCAGCGAGCCGTCCGGAGAGCCCGCCGGGGTGGAGGCCGCGCTGCGTGGGCTGCCCTGCAGCGCGCTCTCGGGGCTCAGCGTCTCCACCTTGGTGATGACCGGCAGCGCAGGCGATGCAGCCTCGCTCTTGATCACCACTTTCTTCTCGGCCTCCTTGGGGGCGTCCGCTAGGGGGGGCCCAGCCGGGGCGCCCTTGGAGGATGCCGGGGGCGGCTCCTTGAGGTGGGCCCGCTCCTCCTTCTCCTTGGGCACGTCCTTCTTTTTGAAGCGCCGCCGGCGCCTCAGGAAACTGCCGTTCTCGAACATATTGTAGGAGTCAGGGTCCAGCGTCCAGTAGCTGCCCTTGCCAGGTTTCTTGTCGTCGCGAGGCACCTTGACGAAGCACTCATTGAGCGAAAGGTTGTGGCGGATACTGTTCTGCCAGCCCTGCTTATTCTCTCTGTAGAAGGGGAAACGGTCCATGATGAACTGGTAGATGCCGTTCAGGGTGATCTTCTTCTCTGGCGCATTCTGGATCGCCATGGTTATGAGAGCTATGTAGCTGTAGGGCGGCTTTACCAGGTCCTTGGGCGCCGCGGGCTGGTGGTGGTGGTAGGGCGCGTACGAGCGGCCCATGCCCGCGCCGTATTGCTCCGGGTGGCCTGAGTAGACGCCCATGGGGCTGGCCATGCCGCCGTAGCTGCCCGCTGCCCGGTAGTAATTCTGCTCGCTCAAGTAGGGCACCACTCCCAGGGCGTTGGGGTCGGACACCGAGTAGCGCGCCTGCATGCTGCGTCCAAGACCGCTCGCCACCGCCTGCGCGCACGGACTGCGGCCAGGGGAGCGAGGAAGGCCTGGAGAGTGAGAGCGAGGCGCGAGAAGGGAAAGAATCGGTGGGGACTGCCCCGGCTGAGCGAAGCCTCAGCGGCGAGGTGGAGGAGGCGCCGGCGCTCGAGCCGAAGAGGAGCGCTCGATTTCAGCGGACTGGGCGGGTCAGCATCCTGAAGGGCGCGCCCTGGGCGACCACAGCTCCGGCCCTGCTCGCCCGCGCGCTTTCGGGGTCCGGCGGGTGGCAGCCAGGCAGACTGCTGGTCGCAGCAGAGACGCCTCGCGTGCACTGGAATGTTCCCCCCAGTCCGCGCAAGGAGGGAGAAAGCAGGTCTCCAAGTCCCCCTGCAGATCGTCAGCCTTGAGGGTCAGCGAGCCGGGGTCCAGAGTGGCTGCCCTGCGGAGCCCGGAAAACGAGGCAAAGTCCCTTTTAGGGATTGGGAAAAGTTTCAAAAGTCTTCTTGCCGAAAGCGAGTTTTTACTTTCCTCAGGCCGCGCCCCCTCCTGGAACTTTGGACCAATCATCCGACAGCTATGGGGAGATGGCACCAATCAGGGAGAGGAGCGAAGGAATCCGGCGGCTCTAAGACCCAGCCGCGCAGCACTCGCCTTTTTTTTGTAGCTCAGCCCTAACTTGAAAAGTCTTTTTAAAAATGAGTTATCTTAATAAAATTTATTTTATTATGGTATTTTGGTTAATGGGACCACGTGTCCAGGGCAAAAAAAAAAAAAGAAGTTTCTTAGCGAAAAATAAGTTTGAAATATAAAATCGAATTGGCGAGTGCAGCCAAGTAGCTCCCACCACACCTTGGGGACGGACGGCAGAGATGCTGGGGGAACTTTCTTATTAATGAGTGATGAGGCGAGTGGTTAGATTCCTAGTCATCGGGGCCTAGATCTTGGATTAAAAGCGGACGTGCCAGATCCGAGTGGAGGGGACCTGCACTGGGTGCCGTCCCCGGTTAACGCGATGATTAATGGTCTCCGGCGGGTCGCCAGCTCCGGGCGTCAGGAACGACCTGTTCAGGTTTTGGAGGCGCCGCATAGAAACCGATCCCCTCGCTCCCGGCCCGGGTCAGGCTGCGGGGGGCCCTGGGAAGGCGCGTGGGGAGGGCACTGCCAACCTGGGAGAGCGACCTTTCGACTCCGCCGGGTCCCGCACGTCGTCCTTCTCGGTGAGCGCGTGTGGGCTCGGCCCGAGTGCAGCGGCCGCTCCCTCTTCCCTCCTCTCCCCCGCGGACCCCGGCGGCCCACCCGTCCCGCTCCGCGCGCCTCTCCCTTCCCCAGAAATAAATTCCCTCTGACAAGCTCACTCCCGCGCTCCCCGAAGACCAGAACAATGCGGCAGCCCCCCGCGCCCAGTCGGAGCCCGGGCTGCTCCGCGGGGCCAGGGGAAACCCGAGCCTGCTTTCCGCGGGGCTTCGCCCGAAGAGGCGCGCAATTCGCGCGGAGCGCCGGGGTTCGCCGCGTGGACGCTTCCCCGCCGCGCGAGCTGCCAAACGCCGACCCCAGGGCGCAGTCCCTACCTCCGCTGCTGGCAGAGCCCCCTGGGGATTCTTCAAGTTGACTTTTTGTATTTTAGTCTCTTTTGTTTTGTTGAGTTTTGATAAGACGAATTGAGGCCCAGCAGGGCTTTTCGGGGGGCTGGGTAAGGGGGTGCAGACGGTGGAAGATGCCCCCAGGATTCTAATTATTCCCGATACTGACCTGAAGCGGACTTCTAGGACCTCGACCATCATAGTTTCCTCCTCGCCTCTAGGAATCCCGCGGACAATTTGTTTATTTAGGGAGCGATTATTTATTCCTTCTACACCTCGAATAATCGGAGCCCCCTTTGTCCACCCCCTTGAAGGGCTGGGACTGGCCTTAGCAAAGCCTCAATGCCCAGGCTTGTTGGTCCGGTTGGGTAGGGAAGAGGGTTGCAGATAAAACATTTGTGTTTCTTTTCCTAACTCTCATTAAATTCTCAGCAAGAGTGTGAATCCACCCCTTAAGTCTTGGCTAGAAGAAATTAGGGACCTCTCGTTCATTTTCAATGAAAAAACACGAAAATATTTGTGTGCATTATCTTTGTCTCCTAATAAATTCAAAACCAAAAGGAAAGCACAAAGCAGGCTCCTATTGTCTTGAATATTCTACTTTTGAGACACAATTTTTATGGGTGTTCTGGTTCTTTCTCTAACTTGACCCCCCTCCCAACTTTTCCAACAATGTAAAATAAAGCTGCCCAGTTAGTTTTTAGCTCAGGGGTGGATGGCTTGCCTTCTCTCCTGACTCCAAACTCCCACTACAACTTTATTTTTTTTAATACCTCTAATATTTCTGCATTCATCTTTTAAAAAAAATAAGGATGTGACAGAAAGTACGTTTCTCCTGAAGTGCACCACAGGCATGCTGAGCCTCACAGTTTTACTGGAAATGCAAAACTATTGATCAAGAAACACCCTCAGTCTGTAGGCTTCTTGGAGGGATATTATTTACTCTGCTTTTATGAGGTGTGTGTATGTGCCGGAGTGTGTGTGTGTGTGTGTGTGTGTGTGTGTGTGTTAAATGCTTTATCACAGCATAGGGCAAAACTCAAACTATCTAAAGACTGAAAAACAAATTCTAAAATGTCAGTTTCCGCCTGCCTTGGTACCTCTGAGAGAGCCCAGGTTTAAACTGAAGCCATCTGAGAACTTTGGTTGAGTTGCCAAATTTATTAGCCAGGAGAAGTGAAGGCCAGGGAGACCTCCTTAAGACAGAAGAGGTGAGAGAGACATTTCCCTTTCCCCTGGGATTGGGTTTCTTCTCGGTGCGGTCCGACCCTGGGAGAGATGCCTGTTCAGGTTATTAAAACACACCTGGACTTTGCCAAAGCCATATTCCCATCCTGGCTTTACCCTACCAGCGCATTTGGGATTGCGGGCTGCTATTTCCTTGCTGATTTCCCCCTTCCTCGTGGTCAGTGCCGAAAGCAAAATCGGGTCCCAGAGGGCCCTGTGTGTTACTAAAGTGATAAGCGGTGAAAAAGGCGAAAGTTGCTGTTTCTTCCTCACAGCGTGTCACTTCCCGTCCGGGCGCGGCTGGGCTCGGTCACCTGGCTCAGACAGACTCTGTGGGTGTTGGCGCCATCTTGCGTCCAACACGGGAACTACTCTGCAAAAAAAGAGAAGGAAAAGCCGGTGGCTTCGGCGCTAATGAAGGTGCTGACACCTTACGGACGCACCTTGGCATTGCACAGCAGGGAGAAGGCCTTCGGAAACCTGCCCGAGGGAGGGAAGGTCAATAAACTGCGCAGAAATCCCAGTGTTTTCCGTAGCCTTGCCATGTTTCGAGAGCATGATCTGCGGGAAACAGAAATGTCTTTGAAACTTCTTAGGAGCAAGAAGGAAACGCTCTAGGGAAAAGCTCCCAGGTTTTTTGCTTGTTTGTTTTTAATTTTTTTGTTGTTGTTGTTACAGTTGAACACAATTCCTTGATTTTATTTATTTATTTTTGTGTGATGCTGAAGATCGAGCCCAGCACCTCACACGTGCTAGGCGGCTGTTCTACTGCCGATCCCCAGCCCCATCCCCTCTCTTATTTGTAAGCAAATAAAATCTGCACCTTTCAGGTGGCGATGCGGCGGCCCCCACCCCCAGCCCAGGGTTGCTGAAGGAATGCCTTCCTCCTCCTCCCCTGCTGCCAGTGCCGCACAGTTTGGGGGAAATTATCAGAAAGCCTCTCAGGGGAAGGCCTGTGAGCCAGTGCAGCCTCCTCCGATTCCGAGGCTCAGGGAGAACCTGGTGGCCAGGTGAGGGGAAGGCTGCCTCTCCTCTGCCCTCCTCGGTTAAGCCAGCATCCTCCCAACCTTTCTCGTGGGGCCCAGGAGATGCCTTGGGATTCCGGAAACAGGACCAGACAGCAGAGCTGTCACGAGCTTCCAAATGCTACATGGGAACTGACCCTTGGTCAACTGGAGTGGGTGCTGCCTTGTAAAAACCCACTGTCTTTTGACTTACAGAAATCACCTTTTATGGGAGACTTCAGAGGACTGAATAAAGGGGAAGCACAGAGCACCCCCCACCCCCAGAATCAGGCCATCCCGGGCACCATTGATCCTCTTCCCCCTTAGGAGTCAGTGAGAGGTGAGGACGCCCCTGCCCCAGCCTCAGCCTCTGCTTGCAAGCGCCCCACAGGGGGCTTCCTCGTCAGCCCAGCCTGGGCCCCACAGGGCCTTTGCACTCCTCAAGACCTTTGCCTGACCCCCACTCTCAGTCTGGCTCCCAGCCACTTCCTCCCCTGGCTTCCTTCCTTCCGCTCACCGCATCCCGTTTCATCTCCCAGCTGCACTGACCACCCTGTGCCTGCCGTCTGCCCGGCCTCCATACCAGAATGGAGGCACCAGGAAGGCAGTCAGGGTCCAGGGCCTCCCTGTGCTGGGTTGAATCCTGCTGGGGGGGGGGGGGGGGGGGGGGGGGCGGGGCAGACTCCATGCTCCAAGTGATAAATTGAATAAATGGATGTCACTTCAGAGACACCTCCCATTTCCCCTGCCATAACCACAGGACGTTTCACCCATGCGGGGTTCAAGCCCAGAATTCAGTGCCAACATGTGCTGGTGTAGTCTAGGCAGATGCTGCGTAAGGGATGGAGGAGATGGCCACAGCACCGGCTCCCAGGCTGTGGCAGGTATGCGGTCACCAGGGGATGGGGCTTCATCTTAGCCACTGGAGCCCTCCGCAGGTTCCCAGGGCCAGGCTAGAATTTCAACAGGTGCCTCCAATGTACCCTCCACGGTGCTGCCTCCCTTCTGTCCCAGGGCCGGGCACAGGGATGCTTCGCTGCTCCCTGCTCCCAGGGCTGCCGTGGGAGAAAGCGAGCTAGGACAGATGGGAGGGAGAAGGCGGTGTGCGTCCCTGGGGAAGCTGGCAAGCAAGCCGGGCCTGGAAACTAGAGAAAGAAAAACTCTAAACTGGAACGTTCTTTGCTTTGGGTTGCCACATTGAGCAGATAAAGATGTTCAAAGACTACCTGGGACATATTTACATACACCCACATATATATAATAAGCCTACGTGGTATTCAGCATATTTGTATATATGTTCATTGTTTATTTGAAATTTGAATTTAACTGAGAAACCTGTATTGATCTGGCAATTGGGAGACAATGTCCCTCAAACACCTCTTACTGGCTCTTCAACAGTGTTGTATCTGCTAAGCATTTTCTGCAGCTTCAAACACCTCCCCAGCATGACAGTCCCCATGGGGAGCCCGACAGGAGAAGGCCTCGCTTCCCAGCGCTACCGCTGTCAGCACAGGAGACCAGCAGTTGAGGGGTGAGAAGATGCCAGCCCTGGGCCTGGCTGAAAGCCCAGAAGCACCTTCGTCAGAAGGACACCTTGTTACTGGCTGGACTCCACCATAACTGCTGCTTCTAGCAGTTACAATGCGTCTCAAAAATAGGCTCCAACCACTGTTCTGTTCTGGCCCTCAGAGTTGCAATCCACTGGCTTCCTGCCGTGTATTTAAAGATGGTCATGAGTTTACTTTGACTAAATTGACTGGTTCCCACATGCAAAGGGGATGTTTTAAAACTCAGCCACGGTGCTCCTGGGGTCCACGTGGGATGGCTGGGATGGCCGTCACACACGCCGGGCGTTCTAAGTCACGTTTGGTTCTCTGAGAAAGTCAGAGCAGCCACCAACCCTCTCTCCACCCCTCAACGGAGGGTTTTTACTTGTTTGCTGGCTTTCTGCAGGGGCTTTGTGCCCCTGCAGAGCACCTCCTGCCTTCCTAGTGAAAGGTGACCGCACAGTGGCAGCACTGGAAGATGCCCCACCTGGGCGGAGGTGTTTCCCCAGGCCCTGCCCTCCCCTTTGGCTAGTCACCAGGACACCTGGGGGGGGGGGGATTTTTTATAGCCTTTTAGTTTGTCTGTTCCAGCAGTTTTAGGTCCACAGCAAAATCGAGCAGAAGGTGGAGATTCCCCCCGCGTCCCTGGCCACCCCGCCTTCCCTGGTATGGATAGCATATCCGTGGGTGCTGTTGTTACAACCAGCGAACTCACAGTGGCCCATCGTCACCTTGGTCCACAGTTTAAGAAAGTTCACTCTTGGGGTAGTGGGATTTTTTCCACCTGCAAAAAATGGGGGTGGAGTGGGAAACAGCATTTCTGAGATGGAAAGCACACGAGCAAAGCCCGAAAGTGAGGCAGGCAGAGCAGGACTGGAGCCACGGGAGGCAGGTGCTGGGATGAGGTGAGCAGGGCCACCTCTGCCCGGTGACGAAGCTCACGCTGAGCCCTGCAGGGAGAGGAAGCCAGACTCAAAGCCAGAAAACAGGCAGGTGGGGTCCAGGTAGGCGGAAGGCAGGAAAGAAAAGCAGGAGACTGGGAGGCAGGAGTGCTACTGTCGTGAGGTGACCATCTTTGGCTGGGTGGTGGCAGCAAGAACAGGAGATGTCATGGGGACACCTTAGGCATCCTTGCCAAGTCACCCCCTCCCTGAAGTGCCAGGTTGCTGGCTGCTCACTGGGGTCCTGGACAGGAGAATCCTCACAAAGAGCAGCCAGTGGAAAGGAGAGCTGGGGGGTCTCAGAAAGCCACAAGCTCTGGAGCTCAGAGTGCCTGAGGGGAGGGGCTTGGCTGTCACGGGGCCTCGTCTTTTGTCACCCACCAGCTAGCTGTGGAGCTCCATGAGGGCGCTGCTTGCCGTGCTCCCCCAGGACCAAGCAGCCACCCTTCCTCTTGCCCATTAAAGTGAAGGAACCAGTTCCACATGTTTCACAAAAGAGGGGGCTGAAGCTCAGAGGGTGGCCTGGACACTCAGGGTCACCCAGCTCAGGGGCGATGGCCAGGCTCCACACAGCTGGCCACTGTGGCTATTCATTACCTTCTGGCCGGGTTCTAAAGGCTCAAGACTATCCGGAAGGGCCTGTGACAGCTAAGTTCTAAGCGAGCCTCCACGTGGCCATTTACAGCAGCTTCATCCACAACCGCCCACCGGGGGGTAACGGGGCTCCTCCCAGGGGAGGGGGTCACTGTGGCCACGCGGCGGTGGAACTGGCCCTACGCATAGGCGAGCCGACGGCCACCAAGAGCCCGCGCAGCTCCAGCGCACGACGCTAAGTGCGAGCAGCCCGTGGGGAGGCGACCGCGGTGACAGGCGGAGGCGCCGCGGTGACGTCACGTCGCGCAGAAACTGCGTCGCCATGGAGCCCGGGGCGGGTGAGGGGCGCTCGGGGAGACTGGGGGCCAGCGGGACGGCGGCGGGGACCGGGTGGACCCCGCGGGCTCGGCCGCGCGTCCCACGAGGACCTGGCGAGATGACGGGGACGCGAGGCGGCGGCGGGGCGGTCGGAGACCCCTGGGCCCGAGTCGCCCGCGGAGCCGCTGGCCAGGAGGACGCCCTCCGCGGGCAGCCGGGGCCGAGTGCACGGGCCGGTGCGCGCGCGTCCTGCTCGCGGGGCGCCGCGTGGGTCCCCAGGCCGCGCGCGGCGCGCCCCCGCCGGGCTCCTGTCGCCTGCGGACTGCGCCGTGGGCGGCGGGGGGATGTGGCGCGTGGCGGTGGCGGTGGCGGTGGCGCCCTTCGGGGAGGATGCCGCGACCAGGACCCAGCGGGGGCGGTTGAGACCCAGGCTGACCTGGGGAGCAAACAGGCGCGCGCAGAGCAGGGTTCAGGCACTGCGCACCCCGTGTGCTGCCCTTACCACCCTCCCGCTTCCCGCGGGTTCATAGGGCAAGGCCTGCCCCTTTATTTCTCATTTCCCCTCCCCCTGCCAGTTAGCCTTTTGCTTGGTGTCACTGATGTGTCTGCGTCATTGTCTCTCCAGGGCAGGGGCCCGATTTTGACATTTCTTGTGCCCCATAGAGCGTCCGTCTCAGGTTGGGGAGATTCTAGGTCTTTGCCTGTGATAACCAAGTAATAACCATGCCCATGTAATTGTCTGTGAAAGGCAAACGTGGGGGGGGGGGGCCCTCGGGGTTCCTGGGGGGGGGCATCTGTCTGGGGCTGAGCACTCAGGATGGCTTCCTGGCAGAGGTGACACCTAAGGAGACTTAAGGGAGAGAGACATGGGCGGGCGTGTCATGGCCAGCAACCGTGTTCAGCCACCTTTGGGGTTGAAGTGAGGCTGGGTGGGCATGAGGCTGAGTGGTCAGAAGGGCCTTCGCCTACAGCAGCTCCCGCAGCACACCTGGATGGAGGCTCAGCAGAGGAGGGGAGCATTCAGCCTGCTCCGAGGCACAGCTGCTGCTGGAGCTGGGCCTGGGGGAGTAAGAGCTTGGGGGACAGAGCACAGAACTTCCCAGCAGCAGCTGGCGTGTGCAAAGATTCCAGCCACGAGGAACAAGCCAAGTGCTGGGCTCTGCCAGCAAAGCTCAGTCAGGTCTTCGGAGTGTGCCACGCAGGCTGACAGTGGCCAGGCCCCAGCCCTCTCTCTAGAGATGCGTGCCCCCTGAGCTCACTGGAGTCTGTTGGAATGGGCTCCAGGAGGCTCCAGGGCCTGGCTGTGAGGACACTCGTGTGCACACTGTGCCCAGGAGGTTCAGTCTGGGCCTCATGCTTAGAGTCCGCACGCACAGTTTTGGATGGTGATGTAAATAGGGAGGTCACAGAAGGTCGAAAAGCAGATCCCCCCTCAGTGGCGTCTGCCTGGGTCAATGTCGGCCTCTCCCTGAGGTAGGGTGCTTTGGACAAAAAAAGCACGCGTGTTTCCCACACACCTATTCAGACTAATCTGCAAGGACATTTTTTAAGTTAAAAACAATGACAGCTCTATGTATCATTTGTCACCATTGACAGAAAGACAGTGGAGGCTTTGGTAGCAGCACCTCCTTGTGTGCAGGCCGAGCTAGCAGGAGGGGTTCACAGGAAGAAGTGTCATGCTCATGGCCCCCCGGGGCGGGACTGGTACCTGAATCTTGTCTGGTGTGGTCATGAGCTCCATATAGCGTCCTTCTCGGGGTTGGGGAGGTGTCAGGGTGGCCAGGTGCAACTCGACCTGGGGCCATGTGTGCCATGGAGTCCTTTTATTTCATCAACGAGTCACAGGTCTTTGTTGCCGTAGGTGGCTCCAAACAGGACATTCGTGAACGAATTTGGGACTACATGGAGTCAGAAAATGTAGCTGACTTTCCCCGGCCTGTTCATCACAGGATCCCCAACTTTAAGGTACGGAGGCATTTCTGCAGTGTGGAAGGACAGGCTGCTTCTGCGTGCTAACACCAGCCCTGCAGCTCCCTCTGCCTCCTGGTGGATCTGAACTTGGGCACTGTGAGCAGACGGGTGACACCAGACTGGCTGGCCGCCACTCTTGTGTGTAGAGACCCTGCTGCTCACGTTACCACCTTTGTGTGCTGCGGGGTCTGGCTGTGGCTTTCTGGTGGTGGCTCCCAGGACGGTGGCTGTGGAAGCCTTTATCCCAGCTGGCGGCTCTAGCCCTGTGTTGTGAACACCCCAGAGCAAGGCCCAGGCACAGCGCCCTGGGCAAACAGATGCCTCGGATGCCGCTGTGAAAACAGGAACCCGAGGTGTCTGCTCATAACAGAGTGCACAGAAGACAGGGCTCGGGGAGGAGCCTTTGCTGTGTGTTTTCCAAAAAAAAACCCAAGGCAGTGCTTTCTGAAAAGGTACCGGTGGCCCTGTCAGGCCTGGAGGGGCCAGCGTCCCTGGCCAGCACCCTCGACTGGGCTGCTGTCCCACGCTGGGCAGCTAGCCCACCCTGGTCCTTGGTTGAGCTGGCTCCATGCTGCCCTGTCTCCCTGAGAAACTCTCCTCTGTGTGGTTCTTGACACGGAGCCTCGTTTCAGTGCTTGGTAGTGCAGGAGAAGCAGCTCGAAGTGGCGGGGAGGGGGCAGAATCATTCAGAGATCTTTCAAGTGGATCACCTGGGAGGGGGGCTTCCGCTTCCACCATTCCATGATTCAGGTGGAGGTGACCCCTGAATCTGTGAGAACCCGTCAAACTCTCCACTTGGGGAATGTGTGTTTTATTTCAGTGAAGACCAAGTTCCTAGTTTAGTCCACTGACCCTGCCCTCTTTCCCAGATGTTCCCCCATGATCCTTAGCGTCTGTCTTAAAGTTGGCTCACCCTCCAGGGCACACCTCTAGATCCTGGTGACTCAGAAGTCTGAGGTGGGAAGATTCTGAGTTCAAGGCCAATCCCAGCAATTTAGTGAGATCCTGGGTCAAAAGGTGAATGCTGGAGCTCATTGGTGGAGCGCCCCCGGGCTCACCCCACAGCACCAAAAGGAAAAAGGGAAGCTGACCCTGCCGTCTAGGTGGGGGCTGACCAAGCCCCTCGGGATCCCTGTCCTCTTGGTAACGCGGGATTGCATTTAAACAGGGCGCCTCTCGTGCCGCGGAGCACTTCCCGCGTTTGCAGGTGTTCAGAACAGCCAGGACCATCAAAGTGAATCCCGACGCTCCCCAGAAGAATGCGCGCTTCCTGGTCCTGGATGTAAGTGCTGCTCTCTGTCCGCCTAATAGGGGTCTCACCGGGCTTGCCAGAACCTCAAAGACCTAGAAGTTTTTGCCAGGACGCAGGAAGTGAAAGTGGACCCTGACAAACCTCTAGAAGGCGTTCGGCTGCTGGTAGTGCAGGTAACCTGCTTCCCCAGACGCCACCTGGCCCCGAGGGCCCTCTCTCCGGCGGCTGGCAAGTGACGATGCTTGTGACTCCCAGTGCAGAGGGCTCTCGGAGCGGGTTTCTCCAGCACAGTCCAGAAGCGCCTCACTGGTCAGCCGGTGTCAGCCAGCCCTGGACCGTCCAAGCTCAGAGACAGAGGGTGCCAAATGAGAGCCCTGGGCCTTTGTGGTGCTGGTGCGCCTCAGCAGGACAGGCTCACCTGTGGCCATTTCTTTTTGCTGCTTTTGTAATGTTGTCATTGTTTGAAACGTGACAGCTCGTTTTTAAGAAATTTCATGAATGCGTTCCAGGATGCAGCGTGCAGTACTCTTTCTCAAGTGCACGGGCCCCTTGCAAAGGGTTGATTTAAATTAATTTATTATAACCTGACTTAAATGCATAAATATAGAACTTGGTATAAATTTGATACTTATAACTCTTAAGCTGCTATAAAACCCAAATAAGTACGTAAATGAACCCCAGGTGAAGCTGTAGGGCAGTGACGTCCAAGGACCCTGTTCATTTTAACGTTTGGCTGAAACGAGTTGTTGCTGGTGATTGACCCTGGGGCTCCCGCTGCTGCCGGGTCTCTGGAAGTCTGCCTTGGGCTGCGGCACGTCGTGGGGTGGCTCAGTTCTCCCTTCTCTCCTCAAGTCCAGTGACTCCAGGGCCCTTCCCCGCCAGGTGGTAAAGTGAAGACCAGAGGTGGTTTGGCCAGGAGAAGGAGGGCGATGTGGGGGTGCTGCTCTGGTTTTTTAAATTAGCCCTAGGAGGAGAGGGTCTTGTTGCTTGTGGTTCAGCTGCAGACAGGCCCCCGCCCCGAGGACTTTCCAGAGGCAGAGCTGTGGCCAGCAGTGCTTTCCCACCGTGAGTCCCTCTTGGGAACTGGAAGTCACATCTGCCAAGCCTGAGGGGCAGCCTGGGTGGTGGTGCTGCGAGGCCCCGTTCCCCGCACGCCTTCTCTGTGGCGCTCCCTTCAGTTATCCAGCAGATCTCCGGGAGCCGTTTCCCTGCCCATATGACAACGGAGGGCCCCAGACACGGAGGGGGAAGTGTCGAGTCGTGGCAGAGCCAAGTCTGACCCCGGAGCCGGCCCTCCTGTGTGAGGTGCAGGGCGTTCTGTCAGCCTCAGAGCACAGAGGCCAGTGTCTTGGCCTGTGGGGTCAGACTTAGCCCAGTCCAGGAGAGGAGTGCTGCTGGGTGCCATGGTGGACTCCTGAGCTGTCGAGCCTCCGCTGGGCACTGGGAAGTGGTGGCAAAAAAGACACACACACACACACACAGTCCCTGGGCCCCACCAGAGTGGCTCAGTCCCCCTTCCTGATCAGGACTCTGGGTAGGAGTGCTTCCTGCAGGCAGCTGGGGACCACTGGCGAGGGCAGCCTCTGCCTCCCCTGGCTGCCCATGAGTGTCGCCTGGGGGCTGCTGGCCTTGCCAGTGCTGGTGCAGGCCCAGGAGCCGGCTGCAGACCTCGGTAACTCTCAGAGCTCGTCAGGTGATGCTGCTGCAGAGCCGGGGCGGAGCCCGAGGAGCTTGGGGCTGTACCGCTCCTGGGAAGGAGGGAATGTCCAGGACACGCGTGGCGCCCCAGACCTGGACCCTGCCATGCAGAGAAGCAGCCTGCGGCAATGACAGCAGCGTGTGCTGAGTGCCTGCTCGTGGCTGAGCATCTTTCTTTAAGCCACACTGATTTCATAAGTCTTAGTGGTCTTGGGTTGGTCTGCTGAAAAACCAGAATGCACTATTGACATGAGAGCCTTTTACAAATGCTGTTGTCTGCTTCATGGGCTGCCCTCACATAATCTGCAGAGACTGGCCAGTGGTTTCCAAGCTCTCAGGTGTACTAGAAGCATCCAGAAGCCTCTTAAAGCCCAAATAGCTGCCCTGCCCCCCCCCACATACCCAGAGCATCTGATTCATTTGTAACAGGTGCCAGGAGCTGCTGACCCCTGCTGCTGCCCAGGCCCCCTGAGAACCCCTGTTCTAGGCCACACCGTAAGAGATTGAGAATTAGGTAGAAGAAAGCGGGTGTCACACACGGTCATATAAAATCTTGATCTTGGATGTGGCTTGTTGAACAAGGCAGATAAAAACATTTGATGGAATACCATTGATTTTGCTATGCTGAATCCATTGCAGATTAGCGCATCGTAACTGCATAGCGCAGAGGACAGAGGTACAGGGAAATTGACTGGAATCTTTATGAGAACATATATATTTTTTCTATTTCTTAGTTGTAAACGGACCCGATACCTTTGTTTTTATTTATTCATTTTTTCATGTGGTGCTGAGACTCAAACCCAGTGCCTCACACATGCTAGGCAATGTGCTTCCACTGAGCCCAGCCCCAGCCCCCCAACAGATCTCCATTTAGATTTTCAAGTGGCAGGTACAGTAGAGAGCAGGTCTGTGGAAGGTACACGGCAAGTGGCTGAAGGACAATGACCAGCACACACCATGTAATTGGGCTTGCAAACAAGTGAGTTCCTTGGCACACACCAAAATATGCAAATACTAGTCATCGTCTTCCCTTCCTGACTCGGTGCAAACATGTAAGAAAGTCCCATATAAAAAATTAATTTTGTAATTTATTGATTATCTTTTTTCCTCAAAAGAGCAAAAAAACCTTGCTGGTTCCAACGCCCCGGCTGAGAACAGGATTGTTTAATAGGATCACACCTCCTCCTGGAGCCAACAAAGAGATGTTGAGAAAATGTGCCACCTCCCAGGTGAGTGCTCCAAATGGTCGTGCACCGGGGAAGATCTGAAGACACTGTGAGTTGCCAAATGGACAGAAGGTAGAGTAGTCCACGGTTCTGCCGCCAAGGAAGCCAAGTGGATGAACTATGAAGAAATGGATTCCGTTTCTGTAATTCAGTTTCTGTTTTGCACCAAGTTGGCGGTTCATAAATTATTGTTTAAAAAGGTGAAGGTGAAGCCAGTTCCCCGGGCTCTGGCGCCCTCTAGCGCTGGCTGAGGTGTCCCTTGGGTATCTTATTTTGGTCTGTTCATCTATCCCTACCAGAACTGCGGAGGTAGGATGGATTTCCAGGATATGCTAATTGGAAATTGCCTCACCAGTTCAGAATAATGACGTACAGTTTTATGCATTAGATTTTCTTGAATGCCTCATGTAGTGAAACCAAAGTGTGTAAACATTATAGTGAAGTACAGCATGATAAAATTCGTTTTGCATTTTATAGTTAAATAAACTTTGGTGGTTTTTTTAAAGAATCCTAAAGTAAATACCAGGTAATCAGATTCCTAATCTGAGAATAACAAATGAGGTAATTCAAGATTCTCTTTTTTTTTAAGGGATTTGCCCCTTAAGTCTAACGTATAAGATTATTTATTGATATTCCAAAAATAGAATCTGCTGTGGCTTATGAAAATAAACACAATAAGGTAAATATAGATACACACACACACATACATGTGGGTAAATAGCAGATAAGATTCAGCCATGGTTCTGATCAGTGTCCCTGCTTGTGAGCCCTACCATCCCTGGAGCTGGGGGACCTGCCCCTGGCCTCAGGGAAGGGCACGCCGGCTTTCCTGCTGTCCCACAGTGACCTGGGGCTGGGGCCTAGCCCCACACTGAAGGCCTGCCAGGTGCTGTTCCTCGTGGGCATGTGAGGACCAGTCCCTAGACGTCCTGGTGGACAGGTGTGAGCACCGTGACTATGTGGCTTCACCTGCAGGCCTCCATTTCTTAGGAGAAGTGGATGTACTCAGAGTGCTTTTGGGTTGAAGTAGTATTGGGAAGTGAGTGCGCTTTTCGTAAAGATAACGGCTTCCCGCACTGTACCTTGAATGAGTGAGTCGGACAGTGATGTGCTGGACACTCAGCCTCCGTTGTCTCGAGTCGTCCCAGCACTGGTCCGTGAGGCCAGTGTGGTGGCCCTGCCTTGCAGGTGAGAAACCCGAGGCTCAGGGTGCACTGAGAGTCCACGGCTGTGCGGGGTCTGGCCAGGGTCTGGCTCAGTCCCTGTGGCTCCCCTGAGCTCCCCAGTGTGCTTTTCTGCCTTAGAGGAATCAGTGTCTGCGACTGCCACTAGTTCCCCCGGCACCTTCCTGGGAAAGAGTGGGAATCCCGCCTGCCCTGGTCTGGCGCTCCCGGAACACCCTGCCTTGCCGCGGGTATGCAGCCAGCCAGGAGGTTGGCCAACCTGCTCCTGGGTGGTGACGGGAAGTGAGGACCCACGGCCCACCTGCAGCTCAGCTGTCCTTCACAGGGGGTGAGGGACTTCAGTGTGCCCGTCGGCTTGGATTCCAGAGTCCTTGTGGATCTAGTTGTCGTGGGATCTGTTGCTGTGTCTGAAAAAGGTAAGATTGGAACCAGCAAGTCTGGTGGGCGCTGTTCCGGCAAGGCCGCTGCGGGTGCCGTGTGCCAGCCTTGATGGGTGCCCTGCTTCCTGGGTGGGCACCTCTTCTGAGCCACCTCATTTGTCATTCTTGGGGAAGAATCGACCTGCTCCTCCCTCGTGGTCCCGGCCGGGCTTTACAGAACTGTCTCGGGCAGCTCCCTTCTGGTGCGCTCAGGTTCTCAGGTCAGCAGACGTGGGCTGAGCTCGTTTGCGTAGCTGGGTAGCCAGCCTGGGGCACCGGTTCCCAGCCTCATGTGCCCCAGGGGCCTGCAGCCTCCCAAGCAGCTCCAGGTGTCCTGTGGCCAGTGTGGCCGGTGACACAGACTGCTGCTGTCCACGTGACGGGGCAGGTCCACACGCCCTCGCAGTCTCCACCCGTGCTGTGCCCTCTTTCCCAGCCCCCAGCTGAGCTGGCACAGGGTGCACCGGGCCTGCCTTGCTGAGCTGTCAGGCTGAGCTCACCTGCACACGCGACTTCCCGTGCGCCTGCCGCGTCAGGCAGCCCTGTGTGCTGGAGGTCTCCGCCGTGGCCCTCTGTGAGTGGCATGCAGACGTGGGGGTGGAAGCATGTTGGTGCCAACAGGAGTGGGGGTGGGGAGGGGCCCTCCAGCGCTGCATGGGGCACCAACTCCCCAGGGGCCTCGGGGCTGGCTCTTGCTCTCCAGTGCTGTGGAGGCAGGAGGGGCAGGAGAGGCTCCCAAGGGAAGGGGCGGTGGGTGCAGGGACGTGGCCCTTTGGCAAGGAGGGCTGGCTCATCCGAGGCCTTGAGGCCAGGCGAGGGACTTGGGCCAGGCTCAGCGGCGCTCTCTGTAGAAGGCCGTCAGGAGCCTCCTGTTCAGACGTGTGAAGGAGAGAAGGCGATTCTCAGCTGCCCCCACTCAGCCTCCAGTTTAAAGAGTGAACTAGCCATGCGCAGGTGTGGGGCACTGAACAGCCCAGAAAGCCCCACCTGGAACGCTCCCTGTCCCCTCCAGGGCCACTAGCAGTGTCCCCAGTGCAGGCACACATGTGCACCAGCATTGTGTACCGCACCTGGAATGTTCCCCGGCCCCTCTAGGGCCACTGGCAGCGTTGCCGTCAGCGTGTGCGCCAGCGTTGTGACCTCAGGTTGAACTCTGCACACGTCCTCCTCCCACTCTCACAGAGGCAGCTGGGGACCACTGTGACAGTGCGTCACCAAGGCCGATGTGTTTCCAGGGCCCTTGCCTCAGAGCCGCTGCAGAGCCCCTTATGTCACGGGGCTGGGGACAGAGTGGAGCATGGGCCTGTCTGGTGGCACAGGTGTGCCTCGGGGCAGTCTGTGGGCAGTGTCCAAGAGGGGCATTGCAGGACTCAGCTGGTGGGTGTTGCAGAAGACCCCTGGAGGTCGCTCACGGACCCCAGTGCCTCCTTGACAGTCCGGCACTTGCAGCCCCTCAGCCTCTGGTCTGCTGTGATTTCATGGTTAAAACAGTGACCTGAGCACTTCTCTCCTGTTTCCATGTCACCTGCCTTCTTTCTTTTTGGTACTGAGATTTAACCCAGGGAAACAACCACATCCCCAGCTCTGTTTTTTGTCTTGAGACTAAAAACAGTTGCTTAGGGCCTTGCTAAATTGCTGAGGCTGGCTTTGAACTTGCCATCCTCCTGCCTCAGCCTCCTGATGGCTGAGATCACACTCAGCTTCTTGTTCTGTGAACTGTCTGATCTTTGCTGCTTTCCCCTTGAGTCCTCTCGTTTCTGTGCGTGGCTGAAGGTTCTGATTGTAAGCAGCAGGTCTGACCTTGGGGAAGTAGCAGCAGTGACGTGTCCTCCCAGGGCGCGGGGACGATGCTGGCCAAGGCCCAGGCCTCGGAACTCTTGGAGCTTCTGACCAGTGGGAAGTGCAGGTCCACACTGGGGCCCCAGGCCATTAACCTTCACTGTCCCCTGGCTGGTTGGCGGGGCCAAAGGGCTGTGAAGCCTAAGCCACACCCTCGCCTCTCCTTGGGCTCCTTTGTGCCACCATTTGCACTGGCCCTGCCCAGGCTGCGGCTCCTGTGTCCCAGGAGGCACGTCCCCTTCAGCTGCGCCCACCTGGCACCTTTCATCTCTCCTCTGGGTACATGGGTCAGAATGTCTTGCTGCCTGCTCTCAGTCTCTGAGAACGTTCTCGTTTCCAGTGTGAGGCTCCCCGACGGGGCTCTGCAGGCCTCCGCTGTTCCCTTTCCAGGGTTTAACAGGCCCCTTGTCCACGGTGCGTTTTCAGAGGGCTGCTTGTGCGTCGCTCTGGAGGTGGCTGCGGAGGCTGGCGCACTGGGCTCAAGCTTCTCCCGCCGCAGTGCCCTGAAGGAACCTGCCCCTCAGTGGCACCCAGGCCCATGCAGGTGCTAACGCCTGCCCTCTTTTAGGCTGGAGGATTGGGAAGGGAGAAGGTTACGCTGACCTTGAATACGCCATGATGGTGTCGATGGGAGCCGTCCACGAGGGGACGCCAGTGGTCACCATCGTCCATGACTGCCAGGTGCTTCCTTCCGGCTGGTCTCGAGGGCTGCTCACTGCCAGCTGCCCTGAGCAGGCGGGTGGGGGGGTGTGAGGGTGGTGGGGTGGGGCTGGACCGCAGGTGGTGCAGAGGCTGACCTCACCCCAGGTGGGCAGGGCACTTTTTCAGCCAGTCTCGCATTTCCTGCCAAGGGACATGAGCACGGCTGCGCAGTCTTGCCCGTCAGCTCCTTTCCCCATTGCTGTTGACCAGGTGGTAGACATCCCTGAGGCGCTCCTCGAGGACCATGACCTCACTGTGGACTACATCCTCACTCCAACCAGGGTCATCTCCACGGGCTGCAAGCGCCCAAAGCCGGCAGGAATCACATGGTCCAAGGTGGGTCCTGGCGGCAGCTTGGGGGAGCAGGAGCTCCTGTGGCCATCCACTGTGGGTGCTCTGGTGTGGGGTTCATCACAGTCACTGTGCAGTTTTCAAACACTTGAGCTCCTGTGTCCCATCTCCAGGCTGGGCTAAGACTCTGCTTCCAAACTCGGGTTACGAGAGGCATCCAGGTTCAAGGTCTAGCACTGTAGCGGGCACCGGTGACTAGAGGCGGCTCCCACCAGTTGCTTTTCCCTGTCTGAGCTGTCTCCTCCCGTCCCAGCTACAGCACAGCCGGTCCCTCCCCCCCAAGTCCCGACTGCCCTGCAGACAGGACCTGGATCTGTCCTCCAGGACCTGGGTCTCAGGCAGAGGCGCTGGCGTGGAAGGCAGGGCCAGGCTCCCTGAGGTGTCACCTCTGTGACTTCCACGCAGCCCAGGTCACCTCGGCAGCTCCCGAGGCTGAGTCTGGTGGCAGCCAGCACTCCTGAGAAAACACGGAGTCCTGCTCCTGGGAGGAAACGCTCGTGGGAGGCAGCCAGCAAGCACCACTGTCTGGTCCACCCAGCCTAGTCACCCAGCAAGGGAGGAGAACATCTGCCTCCAAGGGCAGACCACACGGGATGCTGGCACTGGCTTCGGCCTGGTGGCCTTGCCCGGCAGCTGGGTCTCCTGCCTGGTGGTGTGGCTTCTTCAGAGTGGATGGGAACAGTGTGCCCGACCTGGAACAGGGTGGGCAGGCCCTCCAAGGACACCAGGAGTGCCCGGGAGAGGTGCTCACACCTTCCTGAACGTCAGCATGTCCCTTGAGTCTTCCTGGAGAGCTGGAACTCACCTTGGGATCCGGGCCCATGCTTCCTTGGAAGTGGAGGCCACGCCCGTAGGTGGCAGTGAGGCCACGCTCCTTGGAACCAGGAGCCAGAGCCTGGGAAGGTTGCTGCGAGGCCACCTTGTGGTCATCAGGAGGATTGATCAGCTGCAGCCACGCTAGCAAGATTCTGGGGGCCTCTCTAGGAAGTGGGGAGTCTCTATGGTGACATTCTACAGGTCTTAAGAGAAATGCGAAGGGAGCCACAAGAGAGCTCACACGTGGACACGTCCCACGTCCTGGGGACTGCTTGGGATCAGGGAGAGGCGGTGGGCCACGATCCAGGTGTGGCCCAGCTTGTCTGCATCTTGGTTCATTCATGTCAGCCGCAGGCGACTAGAAGAAGCACGTCACCTGCAGCAGCCAGTCCTTGCCATTCAGAAGCCAGTCAGAGGGTGCCTGCCAGGGAGGCAGGACAGGGCTCGGGCACAGAGGGTTGTGACCCAAGGAAGGCCTTCCACCAAAAGGGGAAGATGGTTTTGCACCTGGTGCTGGAGACGGTGGGGAAATGGAGGAGGACGGCGGCTCGGGGAGGAGGCCCTGGACTCTCTAAGCCATTTGGGCGTAAGCCCTGCTCTCACATGTTGGTTCTGCCTGGGGCCCGGCTCCTCTTGGAGTTTGGACGACCCTGGAACTGATGCTCAGAACCGGGGAGTGGCTCTTGGGAGAGCCAGGCCCTGGCGGGGAAGGTCCGTCGTGCGGTCCTGGGCTCTGAGCGCGGTGCGATGGCGGTGCTACTGCAGCCCTTTGGTTTGTGGCACAACATGACCAAGTAGCGTTGGTGCGGGCCTGCAGCCGACGTTCACGCTGTGGGAGCCGCCGTACCTGCCGGTCCACCAGCAGACGCACGTTGCGGAGGGGACTTGTCGAGGCCTGGCTGGCACGGTGGCCCCTGGCCTGCCTACTGCTCACTCCCCAGTAGCACCTCATACAGCTGTCCCCTGACAGCCACCGGGCTTCACGGTGGAGCTGCGTCCAGCCAGTTCAGTCCGTTCAGTTGGGACCGGCTGTGCTAACAGGCCCAGCGGCCAGGCCTGCTCCCAGCCACCTCTTCCACGGCCTGTGGGGCAGCTCAGGGGCCTCCCTGGTGGACGGTACTGATCTAGACGGAGCCCTCACACAGACGCCCCAGAGGCGACTGGACTTCGTGTGACTTCATTTCACAGCCTGGTGACCCACGGCTGGTGGCTGGCAGCAGAGGTGGTATCCAGTCTCTGCGTTTTCTGGCCCCTGGATGTGTTCCTTCAGTAGCGAGAGGACCCCTGTGGCCCTTGCAGGACCTCGTCCCACCCACAGCTCACTGGGGCAGAAACCCACTGTTCTGGGGCTAGTCAAGGGCAGTGCCAGTGACCAGTGACCCTAATGCCCGTGACCCTCGGTGCCTCTCTGGAAAGAGCCCAGGCTTCCTTTTTGGCCTCCTGAGCTGGTTTCTGCAGCCACCATGGTACGTGGGGGACAGTCCAGAGCAGCGTCACCGGTGCAGAGCTCCCCCGGGCTGAGGGTGGGGACCAGAGCTGCAGGCGGTGTCTGTTAGAAAGAGGGGCTCTCCTCCCCGAGAGCCTCGCAGCACGCACACCCCACCTGTGCAGCAGGCGGGTGGTCAGTTCCTCACGGGAATGTCTGGCAGGCGCCCTGCGGTGACCCCGGACCCTAGATTTGCTGGAACTGCTTGACTCTTTCAGATCAGCCCTGAGATGCTTGGGAAAATCCCGGTACTCAGAAGCCTCCGCGACCGAGAGAAGCGGGCGGGGAAGGACATCGCTCTTCAGGCTGAGCACCAGCCCTTCCTGGGATCCGCCAGCCAGCACCCAGCGCTGCCAGGCACGGTCAGGAGGCCCCACGATGCACCCCGGCCAGGGGCAGATTCCCTGGAAGCAGCCTGTGGCCCCCGTGAGGGGGAGGACGTGCCGACTGCCACCGTGTGTGTGGGGAACCTCCCCCACGATGCCCGCGTGAGGGACCTGAAGAGAGCCCTCCGTGAGCTCCGGGTGGCGCCCCTGCAACTCTCCTGGCGGGGACCACAGCACAGGGCGCTCCTCCACTACCGGGACCTGGCTGCAGCCCAGCAGGCCGCCTCCTGCTTGCAGGGCCTGCACCTGGGTGACAGTGCCCTGACTGTGGCCCTGGCCAGACCGTACAACAAGTCACCTGGGGGCTGCCCAGGCAGCTAGAGCCACCCTGGGGAGGAGTGTGACGTCCTGCCGTGCTGCTGCTGCGGCACTTGAGTCTGTAGCCCAGGGGATGTGGGGGCGCCTCTGAGGCTCCTGTGCTGCCCCAGTGTCCCCGAGAGGGTGTGTGCATGTCCTTAGGCCCCCAGAGGGGGACCTCGCTCACACCTTGAAACAAGAAGCTCTGGGACCTGGGTCCCGGTTTTCCTGCTGCGGTGCCCGTTAAGATGGCAGCTCCCTGTCTTGCCTGCTCCCTGCCTGCGCCAGAGCTGAGGCCGCCCCTGGGATGGGAGACGTGGCTGCACAGGTGGCCATCAGAGCTGACGGGCCCGGCCCTGACGCCACCACCTCAGCTCCTGTGCCCAGCTGTGCCCCACACCAGCGCCACCCTCATGCTGCACAGTGAGACCAGTCAGTGAGTCCAGGTGAGCCCGTCCCTGGGGCTCTCTGTCCACGGCCACCAAAGTGATCCTCACCTAACCTGTCAACGCGCAGAGGATCTGAAACTCCTTTAATTCTTAGAAATTAAAATTGTCATAAAATAAAAGACTGATTGATTGGCAGGAGGTCAGTCAGCTGGAAGGTCAGGCTGCAGGCTCTCCCCGAAGCTTCCTTCTGAAGTCGTCTGGGAGGGCACTGCCTGTCCTCTGTGGCCCACAGCCGAGTCCCCCACTAACTGTAGAATTTATTTTTTTAATGCAATAACAACAAAAACAAGTAAGTGCCTGGAACCTGCCTGTCAGGTGGCTCAGGGCTTATTCGAATAAAGCGACACTTCCAGATGAGTGACAGAGCTGGGCAGACACCTCTGGGTTCTAGATGACAGCTTCTCCCTGGAATGGCCCCTCAAGTGGCAAGCAAGATCCCAGCAGGGGTCTCAGGGCACCAGGACGCTGGCAAGCTGGGGAGTAAATGCTCAGGAGTGACCCCAACAAGCAGAGCTGGGGCTGGGCCAGGCCTCGGCACCCCCACTCTCCTGCAGGGTGCTTGACGGACCGGTGGGTTCAGCTCTGCCATTTGTTGGAAAGGATGGGTGTGTAGGAGTCCCTCTGGGAGCAGCCAACCCAGACGTAAGGGCGACGCAGCTCTGAAAACAGCTGTGTAAAGTGCTCAGAAAATACCAAGAAAAGGAAGGTCACCCCTTAATTCAGAACCACTGTGATCCCATGTGTTCTGTTCAAACGTCTGCTCCCATGCGCAGGCTTCTTTATTGTTACCCCAGTCGTTCTTGGAACAGTGGCAGGAGAGATACCCCTCATGACCTGTGTCTTTACTTCTAAGTTTCTGGAGTGCTGAAGGCAAATACCTGCCACTCTGCTAGTACACGCAGCGAGTGTCTCCATCACGGAGCCTGGCTGCAGGTTGGCGGAGAGCGTGGGCGCAAGCGCTGTGGGCCAGGCCCAACATGCACCGCTCCCTGCGGGCGGAGGGGCGCTCCTTGTGCCTCCCTGTCCCCGGGCCAGCCTGGCTGAGCTGCACTGTTGCTAGGCCAGCTCGCTGTCTGCCTCTGCCCCCTTCTCACCGCTAGGCTGCGTGGGGTTGGGAGCACCTCACGGGCAGGGCGGGGGACCCGTCAGCGTTGTCTGGGTAGCACTGGCGAAGTGCAGATCCAAATGTGACTCTCAGAAGGAAGCCCCATGTCAGCAGACTTGCAGATCTTACTGGCAGCCCCAAGCATCCTGGCAGGCCCTGGAGAAGTCCTGCCTGTCCTCTGTGGCCCCATCTCCCAGGTCTTTTGGTGCCATTGGCTCCCTAGTTCCCAATTAGTGGCCCCACACACTCCCTGCAAGTGAGACAGGCTGGGACAGTGGCAGTGGCAATACTGCCCAGGAAAGCCCACCACAGGACATGTGTTGGAAGGAGGGTAGACGGGGTGCCAGACAAGAACATTGAAAGGGGTGGGAGGGTGGAGCACCGTCCTCTGCAGCACAGCTGCCCCTGCCCCCGCCCCCAGCACTCCCAGCACAGTGCTGAAGACCAGGCCCGTGGGTCTTACTTGTTGTGTAATGCGAAGTTTTCCGTCTTTGCCAGATATGTCCCCTTTGCCCCCTTCTGGAGCATTCCCACCTGCCTGCTCCCCAGTCCTGGGAAGTGCCTGTGCACTGGGGACTCTGCTTCCAGAATCCCCACTCTCCCTCTCTGCTCGGCCGAAAGGAGTTGGGAGGTGGCTGAGCTCACCTGCCTTCTCTGGATTCAGGCAACCAGTGTTCCAAATAGAGCAGATGTCCCCGCCTGAAGACCACTGATTTGGGGGCAGGGGTGTCCGTGGCTGCCTCTCTTCAAAGTGAATCTTGCACCATATATAAAGGCAGGAAGGAAGGGGCGTGGGCAGCCTTCGCCACTGCCCCCCGGCCACCTGCGGGCTGAGCTCCATGTCTCTGCACAAAGGACCAAGGAGGATGCCAACCTCTTCCTCTGGTCATAGTAGCTCCAACTCGCTGCGCTGCTCTCAGTGAGGGGAAGTCGTGAAACTCCTCCCCAGAGCTCTGGGCAGTCCTGAAGAGCCACCCTCAACCTGCTTGTCACGCCGTGCCCGCTTGCACGAGCAGACCCAAGACACGGGCAGCTCTACTCCTGGAGTCCAGCCCCACGCGGCGAGGAAGCCCAGAGCGCCCTGCAGAGGCCCAGGGCAAGGCACTGAGGGCCAGCCCCAGGCAAGGGGGCACCCCTATGGAAGGGATGCAGGCTCTCGGGAGCCCCCTTGCTGGGCCAGGCAGAGCAGAGATGGACTGTTCCCACGACCCCTCAGAGGGCAGCCCGGAGTGAGTGTAGCCTGGCGCCATGTTAAGCACTCTGCTCCTCAGGACTGCTCCTGCCCTGAGTAGTCGGCGCAGCATTTCTTCTAAAGGAAGTGATGCTCGTGTGTAAATTATCAAGCACATACATAAAACTGTATTCTGAGTAAATATAGAGACATGAGTCATAGGTGGGCAAATGCATGCGCAGTCCTCACGGCCACTTTTGAGAGACACCCTGTTCCACGGATGAGGAGGCCGAGATACGGGAGGAGGAATTGACTGGTCCACAGTCCCTTAGTGAGTAGGGAGCAGGGTCAAGATTTCCATTGCACCAGATCTCTGAGGAAGTTAGAAGTGCCCATGTGCTTTCCTTTATAGTGGATTGTCCCCAACTTGCCACCTACAGTCAGAAGAGGCAAAGCCATGTGGGCTGGGCAAATTGATTCAGACCCCGTCTGCTCTGCAGGTGTTTGTGGGGCATCTGGGGCAGCAGGGCTGCCCGCTCTGCGTGGGGTCTGCCCTGCAGCCTTTAGTCACCACCCCTGCTGCCAGCCCAAAGGACGATGGCTGGGCCAGCCTTGCTCCGTGTGCTTGATGAAGTAGCTGGTGTTGGTGGCCCAAGCCAATCAAGGGGCTGGCACAGGGTTTTGCCCACTTCTGCCTGCTCCCTGCTGGAGCTGAGGCTCAGAGAATTGGGAGCTCCTCACAGCCCCTCCTGCCTCCGATCTGGTCCCTTGCCAATCTTAGTGGTCACCTGAGGCTTTTGCTGGGGACTGTCTGGGCAATCTTTCAAACAAGCAGAGACTTTTAAATTGGCAACCACACTCCTGTCCCTCCCGTGGGGCAGAACTTCTTCCTGTGAATGGAAGCCTTTATTCTTGATGTCCATTAATCATGAGGGTTAGAATAGGAGCTGACATGTGACCATGTGATGTGGACATTTTGCACTTTGGAGGTTTGGAGGCAATAAACCAGGCCCTAGGTGCTGAGTTGTGAGCAAACTAGACGCCTTCCAGCTCAGGGGGGGCAGCCCACTCCGCCCTTGCAGCGAGCCGGGAAGCTGGCTCTGTACCTTCCCATCTTCCAGGTAAGGAAGGCGTGGGTCCAAGAGCTTTTGTGACTTCTCAGGGTCCCACAGCAAAGCTGGCCAGACCCCTGGAGCCTCTCCCCATCAGGAGGGAGCAGGCTGTCCCCAGGGAAACCTGATTGCCCTCTCCTGACCACAGCCAGGGCCTCAGGGCTCCCTGGAAGCCGCCGCAGCTGGTCAGAACAGAGGCACCATTGAATACGCCAAGAACAGGGTGCTGGCCCCAAACATGGAGCCGCCTGCCATGCGCTCACCCTCTCTGCGCCTGTTTCCTCGCAGATGAACTCACTGGAGCCCCACAGCCCTTCCCAGCGTCCTGCTCATAGGGGAGAAGAGGGCAGGGTCAGCACTGGACTCTGCCCTTCACTGCCACATACACCGTCAACTCCTCCCGGGCTGCCAGGTCTCAGTGCACAGACAACTGTCTCCTGGGCCAACACAGCTGCCCGGGATGGAGGGGCGGGTCTCTTGCCTTTCTTGTCATCTCTCTGAAGCTTTCTTAAGGAGCCCTGCTGTTTGTACACTTAGGAAAGACTCCATTAGTTTGACCCCGTTCCAAACAAAGCCAAGTCCTCCTTTGAAAAGGTCAACGGCTCTGAAATGCCAAATGCAGCGTCATTTGTGCCTGCCACAGCCACTCACCTGTGGCATCTCCTTGGGGGATCATTTTTAGGTCCCAGCGTTGGTTGTGCGAAGGGGACAGCAGGTGGCGCTGCGTCTTCATGGAGAAATAGTACCACCCCCCCCCCCCCCACCCCCGCCTTGGCAGATGGACAGACTCTGCCTTCCTCCTCTCCTTTCCAAGGGGTCTCCCCGCCCTGAGCTTCCACTCACCACCACCACCACTGGGGTGGGCTTTGCCTGGAGGAGCCCTGGGAAGTGCACTGGGACCTGCTGCCCTCCTGTCCCCAGGGCCCGGTCCTGTACCACCTTGCCCAGCCTCCCCTCACCGGCAGCTGCCCCCTTGCCCGGGTTTCCTCTCACAGTACCTGCTGGACAGAGGTGGCCCACTCCTCTGCTCCCACAGCTGTGCCTGCTGAGGGGTCACAGCAGAGAGCCAGGATCAGCAGAAAACACCGTGTGGGGATTTGAGGCTTGCTTTGAGGGACATTTCCAAAGACACAGCTGTTTTATCCTTTTCCAGGGACATTGGAAGACCTGGCCCACTTCCACAGTCAGGAAACATGTGCGATGCTATTAGCTCGATTAAGATGACCCACCCCGCAACATACTGTTCCCAGACCAGAGCCTGCTGGCCACCACAGCGCCAAGCTGCTGACATGAAGCACAGAGAGCAGCTGGTACCTGGCCCAGTGCTCTGTCCACTCTGGGCAGGCTTCCTCTGGTCTTTGTCCCCAGGCTGACAGCCAACGCCATGGGACAGGGAAGGGCGGAGCGGAGGTAACCAAACAAGGATCTGCAGGCACCAAGTTGGGCTGTCTCTGGGCCCTGACCAGGTTGCTGCCCCACCCAACACTAGGGACCCCCAGTGGGGCCTGGCCTCAGTGTTATCCTCTCTCAGAGCACGCATGTGACCCATGTCCAGGTGCTGGAAATGGCTGGAGGGCAGCAGATGGCCCTATGTATCCAAATGCTGGGGAGCACAAGGAACCCGTGTGCTCAGAAAGGGACAGGCGCACTCGCCCACTCAGTAGTGCCTGCTGCCCTGCAGTCACCCACGCTCTGCTTCCGCCCTTCCGCTCATCCAGCCAGCTGGGTGGCCATGGGCACTGTTCTGTCAGGATGTTCCCATTCCAAGGGAAGGCAGCACCGGAGGCGGCTCTCCCGCTGTCCTGGTCCATGCTGAGGACATACCTGCAAACATCCGTCATCACTCGTCCCTGCCCAACCCAGGCCTCAAGGGATGTAACTGCAGGGGCTGGAGCCCAGTGACAGCATGCACCCTAAGCCCCAAAGGAGGACAGTGGGGAGGGGAGGGCGGGGAAAAGAAGCCACCCTCCAGGGGCTGCCTGCAGGAGAGGTAGAGAAGGGAGGGACCTCCTCAAAGCCATGCCCAGAGCTCCGAGATGTCCATGCCCAGAAGACGGAAGCACTGGACAGGAGGAAGCAGCCTGTCACCCACCTGGCTTCCCTCCACCTTGCCCTTGGTTTGTGGGGTTTCTCCCCCCACTGGACTGAGGGGCCAGGGAGCAAAGGAAGCGCAGTGGGTGGGCATGGTGGAAACCAACCGCAATCACGGTCCAGCACCTGGGAGGGAGGCAAACGTCACCAGTCTGAGCAGGGACTGCTAACCAGGCTCCCACCCACCAGGAGGCCCTTCCCCACTCAGCCGACAGCCGGGCAGCTTCTTGAAGCCCCTGTCGTGCCTGCCCACTGCCACCGCCCCCGTGGTGGCGGGACCATGGACCACATGTCAGCAGTCCTCCTCGTTCACTGGACAGGGGGCTGGAGTGAGATGGATGTCCGGGAGCC